CTTCCACATTAAATCAGAGCTGACCTGTGTGACCAATGGAACACAGCAGAAGTGAGAGTGTGTGGCATCCACGGTAGACCATAAGAGCCATTTCAGCCTCCACCTTGGTCTCTTGGATCCCTTGCATTGGGGGTAGACAGCAGCCATGTCTTGAGGATACTCAAGAAGCCTTGTGGAGACACCCACATGGAGAGGAACTGAGTCTTGCCAGGAAAAGCCATTGAGCTACCTTGGAAGCAGATCCTCAAGCCCCAGTCAAGCTTTTAGATAGGTATAGCCTGGACTGACATCTGACTGCAGCCTCACATGTGATCCAAGCTAGAAGTTCAGCCAAGTCACAAATAATTCCTGATGCACAGAAACTGTGAGAGATAATGAATAATTATTTTTGTTTTAAACCATGAAGTTTTGGGGGATTTGTTATGCAGTATTTGATCACGAATTCATCACCACCCACTATCAAAGCTTCTAATGTTTTTATTCCTCCTAAAGAACAGAGAAGTTGTGTGGTGGCCCCAGGTCACACAGCAAAGCTGCCAGCTTCAATACAATATTCAGCTTTGACATTCTCATATAGAGCTCCTATATCTGCTTCACCTCTTTACCTACCACTCCCCTTTTTAGACCATATCTTCGCTTAGCCCATGCTCCTATGTCCCCACCTCTTCACCTCTTTTGGAAGCAGGTTTATTTCACCCCTCTTCTCAAATCCTTTGTGCTCAAAAGCTAACCCCCTACAGTGTGGAGATGGTAACGATCACAGCTTGTGCCTAATGTCATCCAACGTGGCCAATTTGTGACAGGTAGACTTGGTAGCTGCAATATTTGCTAGGAGGTTTTCACGTAGCAGGCTGGTTCAGAAACCACCGCGATGCTTCAAGACATGTAATGCTTGGCTTCACTTTGAGCTTGTCAGATTGGCTCAAAGAAAGAAGAGTCCTGGCCAAAAACACAGGAACTTAATTAGGGATAATGACCATAATGTGACCATGATGGCTCAGTTTCAACAGTTTGTCCCGTGAGTATGATGTTTTCACAATCCCCTTTGAGTTTTAGGGGCAGAAACCCAGTAGTGGAAACAGAGCCAGCGGACGACAGAAGGGACGAACATGTGGCCTTGGATCACTCTGTGTCTCAGCTCCCACTGCCCCTCAGCCTAGAAGTCCTCCACCCTCTCCCCAGAGTGAAACTCTCACCCTTGGAGGGTAAGCCCCAAGCCGACCCTCACCCTGAATCCTCCCAGCCCTGCCTCCCCACACACCCCTTTTCTCCAAGTTCTGAAAACACAGGGCTCCAACCCCAATTCTCACTTGCCCTTACTTCTCTCCATCCTGTATAATAGTTTGTTTCTTTCACATCCTACCTCCCCCAACTCTGAGCTCTTTGAGAAGGAGGAGCTGCCTCTCACTCACACCATTGCTCACAGAGGGCCCTGACCAAACCTGGGCCTGGCTGAAGATGCCCAGAAACATCTGCTGAATTGGGCACGATCAGAGCTACACAGTGGGACAGTTGACACGCGGTATGTCGAGTTACGGAATTAATTTGAATTCTGTAAGAAGAACGTCTCTATTGGGTTAAACTTGGCTGGCTGAGGCAGCCAGCAAAGTTGGGGCGGGCAGGCAGAACAAATAGTATGTGGAATGAAAAATACGTAGCAAAGCCCTTCGGTTTAGCCATTTGAGGAAGGGCCTGGGTGGGAATGCGCAGCAGAGCCCTGCATTCTCCTGGGAAACATTCCCAACGGCCAGGCCCCGTTTCCCCAGGGAGTGACGCATACATAGCTCCCCGCTGATGCCTTCATAAGGGGGACTTTGCCTGCCGATATCTCCTGCCTTCCCTTGGAGCACCTTCTTCTCCAGCATTCCACGTAATGACCATGTTCCTGCCTAGGTGGAAGAGATTGCCTGACAGCATGACCCCTTATGAACAATTGGCTTTTTCTTAACAGGCCCCATGTTTCAGTACCGCCAACCAGAAGCGTTTGGCAGGAAAACAGCTTCCTAGCTGAAAGTCAGAGCTTGGCACAACACACATCAGGAGTTTTTAGGTCGGGCAAGGTGGGGGTGGGGTAAGTCAACTGCCCGCCCTACTACGTAGGAGTCTTTGGGTTGCCACTGACTGAAAACCCACCTTATCAGGCTTGAGCCAAAAGAGAATTGATTAGAGCATACTCCTAAAAAGTCCAGCAAAGCTCTAGCTTCAGGTGCAGCTTGTTCCAGGATTTCAAATTGTCACTAGGGAGCAGTCTTGATCCATTTCTCAGCCCTACTCTCTTCCAGTTGTCTTCATTTTCAGGCTCCAAGCTGGGGTAAGATGGTTGTCAGCAGCTCCAGGCTACACCTCCCAGGGTCAAATTCAGCAAGCCAGGCTGAAGTCCTAGGCGGCACAGGCAGGTAGTTCCAGACACTGGAGTGAGTGAGATGGGAGAATCGCTTGAACCTAGGAGTTTGTCAAGCCTGTGCAACACAGTGAGACCCCATCTCTAAAAACAAAATAAAACAAAAAATCCAATTCAGCAACTAGTTTGGGTCAGATTTTCTATTACTTGCAACCCAAAGCATTCTAACTGATTCACTGAAAATACTTGTGAGCTGCTTCCAAGTCTAAGCAGCCTGAGAAAATGGCTGTAATAAAGAGATGCCTACCCCAGGTGTGACAGACAGAAGACGGTGGAGAGCTACTCCCCACGGAGTTCCTGGAAGGAGCCACAGGTGTGGAGAGGCCAGCTTTCCTTTGGAGATCCAGTGCTCCTGAGCATTTGAGAAGATGCTCGACATACATGTAGTATTCTTTTAACTGTCCTGTGGCAAGAGGGTTAGACTTCCTCAGCTGGGCAGCTGTGTGCCTGCATCCCCAGGTGCCCTATGGATGAAGTGTCTGTGCTCTGATGGGGAGAGTGGGGAAGAAAAGAGCTTAGATGCGGCCAGTGAAATGCCTTGTTTCTGTTTCCTGGTTTCTGTGGCCACCTGTATGACGGCGAGCAGTCAGGTACGTGTGGCCAGCTTTGAGAGCGAGGGCAGGGACGAGGGCCTTTTCTTCAAGTGTTAGCCTCTGCTCCTGCTGCCTCCTGCAGGGCCAACTTGAATCTCGGTATAGTGGGTGCTGGGATGGACCACCCAGAGTCCCTCTGGGGCAGGGTGACAGCTGCTGATGGCTCGCACATAGCTAAAGGTATCAGCTTCACGCCAGAAGACTCTCCCCCCTGGGGTAGCCTGCACCCTAGGACATGTGCTGGGATGAAGACACAGAAGCCAGTGTCTACACAGAGAACCAGATTTGGGCTCAATCCAGGCCAACCCTGAAGGGCAGCCCAGCTACAAGCCCCGCTCAGGGTTGGCTGAGACCTCTCTTGCTACTGCATTACAATTAAACTTCATCCTCTGCCCAGGCCTTCCCATGTTCCCCAGTATATCCCCTGCATGCAAATCTCTGCCCCAGAGTCTGCCTCCTCAAGAACCCAAGCCATGGCACCAGCTGAGGCAGGTGGTATTTGTGAGGCCTGATGTAAGAGACCGGATCCCAATCGCTTCCTTTCCTACACTGACAGGAATAGCGCGAGAAGGAGTTGAGAAGCATAGACCCTCTTGTTTACAGTTTTTTTTTTTTTTTTTTTAATGTGTGTAGGTTTTTTATTTGTTTGCTTGTTTTTGAGACAGAGGCTTGCTCTGTCACCCATGCTGGAATGCAGTGGCGCAATCTCAGCTCACTGCAACCTCCGCCTCCCGGGTTCAAGCGATTCTCCTGCCTCAGCTTCCCAAATACCATGGATTACAGGTGACTGACACCATGCCCAGCTAATTTTTGTATTTTTAGTAGAGACGGGCTTTCACCATGCTGGCTAGGCTGGTCTCAAACTCCCGACCTCAGGCGACCCACCTACCTCAGCCTACCAAAGTGCTAGGATTACAGGGGTGAGCCACCGTGCCCAGCTTGTTTATGTTTTATTTAAGATTAAAAGAACTTTCTATTACTAGAGAAACAATGTATGCTCACTGATTAAAAAAAAAAAAACTGGAAAATTCCAAAAAGCCGAGTAAATCAATCATTTAATTAAAAGACCTCACATCCTTCCATGAAAAATAATGATTTTGTGCATTTGAATTTGAAAGTATGTGTGGAGTCCTTCCTGTGTCCTAGGCCCTTCAGGCTCCCAACAAGCCTGTCAGTCGACCTCATTGTTCCCATTTTGCCAATGAGACTTGAGACACTCGGAGCCGTGGAGTTACACGGAGGGCAGACAGCAAGCGGACAGGGCTTCCGACTGCATGAGCACTTCCTCATCATACCCAGACCACCAAGTTGATGTCAGCGTTTCTGAGCGTGTTCTTTGAGGGGGAGAAGGTGGAAAATATGGAAGAATGTTCCTAGGCCAGAAAACGGGACCCTCCCTCTCTTCCCGGTTCTGCCATTTACTTGCTGGTTGACCTTAGACAGATATTTTCACCTGACTGGGGCCTCTGTGCAGGGAGGCTGTGCGGCCTCTGCCCCATGTGTTGGGAACTGTGGATAAACGGATAGGGTTAGCAAGTGCAGTGGCTCTGGCTGCCTGAAGGGGGCACCACTGAGAAGAAAATGCCTTAAAATCGGGGAGTTGGGGCACCCCTCCTCCAACAGAAGACAATATTCCCACAGTGATCCCCATAGGCCTCCCAGGGGCACTGGGGAAGGGGCTCCAGGGGCCGCAGGAGCCTCCAACAAAGCCAGAACCGTGACACGGTGGAGCCCAGAGCTGGAACCTGGTGCGTCTGTGTAGAAGGCTTAATTCATCTTTCATAATTCTCTTTGGCCAAGGAAGACGACAGGGGAATGTTTTACTTACTTTCTTTTTTTTAAAAGAAAACTTTCCATTGTGGAAATGGCATGTGTTTATTTTTAAAAATCCAGCCACAGGGATATATAACTTCTGGGGGAGGGAGACAGCTCAAGGGCCAATACTGACACTCCTGCTGTGAAAATTGGGTCTGGGTTTCTTTCGCCATTTGATTCTTTTCTCGTAGGCCTCTTTCCTTTAAGCAGAACAGAAATCTTGCTCATGGATGTGAAGGAGAATGACAGAGGAGAGCTGAATTCCAGATAATTAAAATACTGCTGCAATAACGGTGACTGACATTTATCAGGCACTTACCCCACACCAGGCTCTGGGCTAGGAGCTTTGCACATTGAATGCTGCGCAAAGTATTCACTGATAGCCCAAGGAAATAGCTTACATTGTCTATATTTTACAGGTGAGAAAATCCAGTCTCAGAGAAGTAATTACCAGTCGAGGGTGGTAAAGCAAGAATTACACATAGGCTTGACTGAGTACAAAGTCATAACAATAGTCTTCTATTGTGGCAGAATCTTGGACCTCTGTGGTCACTACATTGGCAGGAGCCCATTGTGTGGGAGGACAGACTGAACCCCAAGAAAGAGGCGGGAGCCTTTCTTCTCTGCATACAGGGGATGCTCGGACCAGTGTGCCCCCAGCTTCTTTGGTGGGATACACAGAAATTTACTTCCTCCCTCTTAGCCACAGGCCTTCCTATGGAAAATGCTCTCTTGGGTAGCAGGGGATGAAAGAGAGGCCCCTGGGCAAGGGGCTGGATCAAAAGCCTTGCTGTGGGGGTGGGGGACTGTGGTGAACTTGGAGGTGGGACCCAGAGCACAGACCACTTCACTTCCCATTCTCCCTTCCTAACAGTGTAACCTTGGGTGAGTTATATTACCTCTCTGCACCTGGGTTTTCTCATCTGTTAAACGGGGGAATAGAAATGCCTACTGTTGTGTAGATTTCGTCTTGCGAGATGATGTGTATAATGCAGCACTTAGAACAATCCATAGTAATACTTAACAAAAATTAGCTATTATTATTCCTCAAAAGTGACTCATTTTCACCAAATAGACCATGGTGAACAACTATTCACAGATATACACAGCTGAAGTATAAGTGGTCAGACATAAGACACTGGGCTTTTTCATGATCATTCTCCTACTGACCAAAAATGCAGCCCCTACCCCCAAGTTCATCTTCCCTGTTGTTTGAACCTGCCGACTCCTCTTGACTACAGGCACTTGGAATTCTCAAAAGGACCTGATGGTGTTAGGAACCCCAAGTCTCTCTGTTCCAGATTTCAGTATAATTCTGAAGCTCCGTGGGCTATCACCTGTGATCCTTCCACCCCTCCGGGTCCAGATTCAGCTAAGGGTTACCCAGCTTAAAACAGAACAGCACCTGACATTTTGGAAGAATTTGTTCTCTCTGTCTGCACCCCCAACACCCTGCCCTTTCTAGGTCATCCTTTCTTGGGTTGTTTGGGCCTGTGTTTCTAGGCTGGCAAAGCCTTGGCATCTTTATGATCTTCATTATCAATCACACCACCAATGTGACATTATCTCCAATGTCAGCCATCAATGCCACCATCTAATCTAAACCATGATTACCATCACTTCTATACCCCATCCCACAACCACCTCTATTGCTGGTGTCTTCACCATTTTCATCTTCCTCTCGGCTATTGACACTATTAGAATTTCTCTCACATGATCGTCTTTGCACTGTCAAGATCACCTATGTTCAGGGCCAGTCAGAACCCTTTGGTAGTAAGTGACAGAAATCCAAGTTGACTGACATAAGAAAAGAGATGGAAAGGATTGTGATTCCTATATCTAAACTAGAAAGCGTGAGACTGTCTGAGGGATGGCTGTGGCCAAGGGACTCAAACACCAGCAGAAATCCTTCCTTTTCTCCATCTCTCATCTCCACTTCTCTCCAGTGTTCGTTTATTCTCTTCTGTAGACAAACTGCTGTCTACATGAGCTTCATGGATTTATACACAGCTGCATAGTGACTCAAAAGCAAATGAATTTCGATCTCCCAAGCTCTGATTGAAAAATCCTAATGGAAGTCCCTCAGTGGCTTCATTTGGCCATCCTTTAGGCCAATCATAGTGGCTAGAAATGTGTGGTTTTGTGATTGACCCTGCTTGGTCATGTGCCTAGTAAAAACATGGCAATTGGGGGAAACTTGGTGAATAGGTGAGTATCCCTACTTTATGTTGACATCCATCCCATTCACCACCGTCCCCACCACCAGCACCACTGCCGTCACCACGACCACCACTGCCACCATCACCAGTACCACCACACTGCCACTGCTGCCACCACCACTATCACCACCACCAGCAGCACCATCACTGTTTCTGAGAACTATAATGTGCCAAGCCTTGAGCTTCACACTTGAACTATATCAAGTTTGAGTTTGATGAAATCTTCAGGCCTGCAGGAATTTACTGTCTCTGGAAACAAGAAAGTTGACTTGTTCAAGGAGCTAGGCTTCTGGTCCTTGTCCACAGGATGGAAGCAAAGAGGGAAGCTGTAGGGACAGCATCTGGCACCTCTTCAGCACTGGCCCCAAGCCCTGAACAGACCCAGAGTCCTTGGAAGCCAGCAAGGCTGTGCTGTGACAGCCAGGCCATTTGACAAATAGCTGCCTGTGCCCAGCCCGGAGCTGGAGCCATTCCTTCATACTCACAAAGTTCCCACCCCAGCCCACGGCCCTGTGCTCCACCAGAGCCCTTAGCACATCTGCCCAGCTCCCTCAGGGGCTGGGACTTGCTTTTGGCCCTATGCCTCCTGCTCCTGCTCCATCTCTGAGCAAACATCTGTGTCTAGATGTTGTTCTAGAGCCTAATAAAGTCTCAGACAGGCCCAGTTAATATATCCACACAAACCTGCCTGTCAGTGGCTAGCTAATGTCAGGAACGGAGCACTCGGGGAAAGCAAGACCCCTCATTTCCTGATGGGGGTGAAGTGTACAGGAAAGATAAACAGGGCATCCCTCCCTGTTTCAGAAATGACCTTAGCAAAGCAATAGCTTTTAGGAAAAAGAGAAAAGAAAATAGCAGCCTTCTTAATGAGGTTTACAGGAACAAATGTTCCAGGTGGTTCTGCCTTCACAGCTACTACTGGGGAAAGAACTGGAGGGAGAGGAGCTCAGTCATGAGTGCACCACCTCCTGTGGATTCACTGGCCATTGGCCAAAGTCCAGACACTGGGCTGAACTTGAACCTGGGGGCTGTGAGTTGCCAGGCAAGGAAGAGTCCTGCCCTGAGTGGTAGGTCTGGTTCTGCCACTAGTTTGCTGGGTGACCTTGGACCACATTCTGACCTCTCTGTGTTCAGTTTCTGCAGATGCCACATACTAGTGGAGCCTTGGAGGACTGATGAAGGTCCTTCTGAGCAAGGGGTGAGGGTGCCCCACATTTCAAACCAAGAGAGTAGCTCTTAAGATGAGATCTGACTACTGAGCTACATGGTCAAGACCCAGAATTCTACTGTGGTAGGGGTGGGCAGAGGGCTGGGGGACATGAATGAGAGCAGAGGCACAATGCTATAACTCACATACCTCAAATTCTGGTAAGTGGGGATCTGCATCGGTAAACTAATTGGGCTCTTCATTATCCATCTGTCATCAACCAGAAACATCTGTCTCTTAAACTGTAGTGGCCCACCTTTCCAACAGCTCTTCCTGCCTGTCAGGGAAAGCTCGAGTCCTGGGTTCTCTCTCCGAGCACATAATTGGGGCGCCCTTCCATCCGTCACTGAGGCCCAGATTCTGAGCCGTTGTTTCCATGGGCTGACAGCTCTGAGGGTCTGTGTTTCACTCTCACTCTTCAACTGACTGTTCTTTCTCCAAAAAGCTGCAAATGGGGTCCTAATGGCTGCATTTGCTTGTGGTTTCTGATGTCCAGTTGCAGCATGACCATCACCATCATCTCTTCTGTATTTTGCACTTGATTAGGGCCTTGCACACATGATCTCATTTGAGTCTTCCAGCATTCCCCTAAGTAAGAATTCATCTTCCTCTGCCTGGGCAGAAGGCCGAGTTCCAGAGAGGTTAAGATATTTACCAAAAGGCACACAATTTGCAGATAAATAAGCAAAGCTTCTGGTACTTTGTTTCAACTCAACTGGAGTCAGCAAAATGGTTTCATCTCGAGTACTAATCTCAATAGATTGATAATAGCTTTCTGCTTTGAGAAGCATAAGGGGTGTTTGTGTGTGTTGGGGGGGTGGGAGTGGTGTTCTGTAGTTGATTAGTGATGTCTGTTAGTGGCATGGGAATAAACGTATTGATGTGTGTGAAATAGGACCAGACCATACCACTTGAGAAAAATGGGAGGGCAGGTGTTTGGGGCTTTTGGGGTTCAGGAGGTCACATGATGCATCCCAGGCAATGATGGACCACATAAGCTTGGAACTTCTGCTCTATTCTCCCAGTCTCTTCCTCTGTTTGGATCCTGCCATGCTCCAAGGCCCAGCTCAGAACTCACTTCTTCCAGGAAGCCCTCCTGAACCTTCATTTCAACTCTAAGTCTCCACCCACTTCCCTTCTCTGAGTTCCAAGGCACTAATCATCTGCCTGCTTGTTTGGCCTTCAGCTCATGCTGCCTGGCTCTGCTATTCTTTCTTCTGCACACATAAGTCCCCACAGATGCCTCTCAGGACTGTGAGTTCTGTGAGTACCTAACTCTGGGTTTTGCTCCCACTAGGAGGCTCAGTAATAGGTGCAGACTAATTTGTATCAATGACCTAGACCATGCAAATGGGCAAGCAGTCACCTTCCTCTCTGCTGCCAGAACACAGGGCTTGAGAGGAGGCAAGAACCCCTATTTCATCTTTGTTGTACATGCTCAGTATCTACCGTTACTGTAATGGCAAGGTTGGCTCCCATGGACCTAGTCCTGACTCAGCACTTTGTATCCACTATGGCATCCAATCCTCACAATGACTCTAGGAGATAGGAATTTGGGAGACTGAGGTGGATGGATCACCTGAAGTCAGGAGTTCAAGATCAGCCTGGCCATCATGGTAAAACCCCATCTTTAAAAAAAAAAAAAAGGAATTCTTCTCCTTGTAGTTCATACTTTAACAAACAGGTGCAGAGAGGCCACATAATTTGCAAGGTCACATAGGTAGTACACAGTGGAGCCAGAGCCTGAAACTCCCTGGAATAGCCTCCAAGTGAATAGAAAATTAGCTTCAGAGCCATTTACACCTGACCTTGGAATAAGACCAGGTAGGTGCCAAGTAGGAGACTCCTGCCGAATTATTCTCAAA